AATTGGGGCAATTTTAAATGCACCATTTGGCATTGCCGTGTGGGCGGGGCTAGTCCCCCTTCACCGCCATTCGACGCGTAAAGTGTAGCGGCACGCCGTCGACTTCATTCCCAGGCTCCGCCCATACGACAACCCCAAGCGGTGCATTTACTCGCAAACCTTGAATTGTTTGAAAATTTCATCCCCAAAACAATGTGGTTCGCACATTTGACGATAGATCAAACGACGTTCTCCATATTTCATTGTTATATTCTGGACACTACTTATGATATCGTCAGCTTCATCAAGGTACTCTTTTCGATGCATACTTCCATTATCTCTTGCCATTAATATCAAGTAAGTCATCATCGGGTCATCTGAAATGAGCACGTTTTTGGGACAAATCGTGCCTTTATCGAATGATAGTGAAGTTGCCCACATCGCATATTCCAGCTTTTCACTTATAATAAGTGGCTCACCCACCCTGAAGTCCCCTCACTTGAAAAAGCTGGTTCCCGGCTCGCCATAGTTGCTTGCGCTTCTCGATGCTTTGGCAGGCGATGTCCTCTATCTGTCTGCGTTTCTTGGTTTCGCAACAGGACCATGCACAAAAGTTCAAGATGTCACATAACCCCGCTCCCCCATGCGCACTGCGAAAACGCGGCAGAGGCAACGTTGCAGTGTCGCGACATTTTCGCCAGGGCCAAATTGATTAAAGTGGAAATACATTAGACAGACGAAGTGCGCCGAGTTAAATATCTAGAGATTATGCGCCTTTTCGGAGTGCAGTGTAACATCCCGAACGCTGCTGCTCCTGTGGTACGATTGGCCAGAGTATGGCTGCGTTCGTACTTTGCGGCAGCGTCTACCAGCGACCGTCAACGTCTCGACAGACTAGAAAAGTATGCATATCGATCTAGCGTCTACCAGCGTCCACCAGCGTCTACCAAGGAGTGCGGTATTTTTGTAGTAGTGCGCCACAATTTTAAAACGCCCTATCCAGCTGCCTGCTCCCCCCCCCTACTACCCCAAACTCTACCAGTCGTCTGCTACCTTTCCTCATACTCTCTATTCGCTGGTGGACGTTGGGGAGCGCTGGTGAACGCTAAGTTGATGTCCACACTTTCCTAGTCCCTAGAGACACTGATGGTCGCTGGTGAACGCTGCCGCAAACTATAAATGCAGCCTAACAATTTGGGAGGAGCAAACGGCAGCAGCACTCGAGCTGTATCTGCAGGAGCTAAGCAAGTTGCGAGGGAGCACGTGGCGAAGCGAAGCCGAGATAATCTTGATTAAAGAATCACTATCTCGGTCAGAAGGGGCAAACGAACATATTTATGGTCAGGCAGTGTTCAGACTTCGCGACAACACGCGTCTAAGCGCCATAACGCGCTACAATTGCAGGCTGTAGACGCGAACGCAGCTGCAAATGGGAATCAACCTCCGACGCCCTATTATATACTGAGTATGATTGAAGAGCACGGTTCTGCCCAATCACGCACTCTGGTATCGATTGACCCAAGCCACTACGGCGACGCCGATCGATTCCTGTCTGCAGCTGCATTCCCGCTTGTAGGACTGGAGCACTGTTACAACTGGAGTGTTTTACAGCGGGTCGACGCGAGCCATCGCGAAGTGCGAACGCCGCCCAAGCGCACCGCACCATTGACCACCCCCCCCCCGCTCCTCCGTCAGTGCGCCTATCCTAACTCCGTGTCGATGCTAAGCAGCTAAAGGAGTGCGAGTCCAGTAAGGATTGAGAATGGCGACTCGTGTGAACTAGCTGGCATTGTCCAGCTGTTAACTCTACATAATGTAGCACGCTAGATCATGTATGAGACCCTGGTGCGAATGTCGCGCACGCTACGCCGCATCGTGGACGCATTCCCGTTGGCGCAGCGTACTCCTAATGTCCAGCACACTTCGCGGACACTGAATGCTAACTCGAAAATGTTCTTCTTACCTATATGACCGTAAAATATTCGAGCCACTTGTGCTTCATAGCGTGATCTCGCATCATAAGCCGTATAACCGTCACGTATGTCGTCTCGAAGTACCACATTCCACATCCCGAAAGAGCAGAACGATATCAGCATCTGTACTGCTTTAATGTTATGACACAACCATAAGTGGAAAGCTGTTCGAGCTATGTCTAGTTATACACTTCATATCCCGAAATCTATGAAAATGGAAAGGGCGTGGCGGCGTTCTCTCAATAGGGGGGAGGGATGAGAAGACCACCCGACTTTTGTGGGATATAACCCTTCTGGTCAAGCTGTAATTACGTCTTCGTCCAGCACAAGATAGGATGGCAGTTCTGTCTCAAATGAAAATATCCCACAAAAAGGGCATCCTCAGTCGTGTTCAGCGGGAGTACGCAGAAACGCCCTTCCCATCTCCAGGATTACCCCTGCAAAGTATGGAGTTTGCACAAAGATGATTCTTTAATTTATTACTTTAGAAGAAAGGTCTGGATAAATCGAGTAACATACCGAAACCAGGAGAAAACATCGAGGGTATGTTCCAACATAACGTCCAAGTCGATTGAAATGTGTTCGTAGTGACAGAAGCAACTTGAATTGGCCCCATAACGACTGTCCCCATAACGGCTGTCGACCAAGTGCTTCTAGGACACTAGCCGTGAGCATCAGCACTTCCCACAGGCACTATTGGGTGGGGAACGCTAATTCTCAGCCGCGGCTAAGTATTAGGTCATCCCATTCAAAGTGGCCGACACATATAGAGGAATGGCAGAAAAGCAAAGGGGATAGAGCAGCGGGCTACTATACCATTTGGAAGCTAGTACCTTAAGCTGTGTATCTGTGAAATTTGGCGAACCTAGCCTCTGAAGAAGTTCTCGAGAAATTGAAGAGAAGCCCGAGTGGTGAAAATCGGCGCCGGTTTTTCAAATCAGACGTCATAAAAGGAAAGTGCGCTGCTCAAATTTGACCTGCGCCGGACCATTGTGTGTAGGGGTGTTCTCGAAATACACGATGAAAGATCTGGCTCGGAAGCCCGTACA